CATAGCAACATAATATCTAAAGTTTAGGATATACCAAAGTTTCTCCACATGTCAAATAAAATTAATTGTGAGAAATTATAGAAAATTACTATGGAGTTGCAAAAATAAATATAAATTCAAGCTCAGAACACATTCCAGATGATTCACTTGAAACCATAAAATTGCACAATTAACCCAAAAGACACTAAAAGTTGATCTATATCAGCCCACACTCTCCTTTTGTGGGTAACAGGACTGAGGATCAGAGAGGACAGTAATTGGCTTAGGGTCCCACATCCAGATATTGGCAAGATTTTCCTTTTGCTTTATTATTATGACATTGCTTTTACCACTGTAGGCTTCTAGTATATGCGAATCAGCAGGCGATGGTGAAATGGGAAGGTTAATGTAATCTAATTAAAGGAAATAGTGGAAAAGGTTGCCTATTGTCTTATTTGTCTCTATGATAACCAATTTAGAGGCATCTGATCATGTCCAGAGGCATCTGATCATGTAAATGTTGAAGGACTTCAACATTTACAGTCTTTTTTTCTTCTTTGGCAGGGATATAAGAAGACTCAACTTAAATTTCTTTGGTCCTGTAGAGGTACAAATGTCAATCTACAAGCTCAAGTATAGAGAAAAGATACATTTCTTTTTTTTTATTTTAGTTACTTATATTACTTTTTATAAGTATCCTTGCTATTAGGTACCTGAATGTTATCCTCCATCAATTCAGAAATCCCACCCGCAGTGACTTCCAAAGTCAAGACAGACAAATGTTACTAGGTAACCAACCCTTCCTTCAGGTCCTCTTTTTTTTCTGTATCTTGCCTGGTCTTGAAGGCAGAAAACCTACCTCAACTTTATCAATTTTTAAATTATATGTTCTGAGTTACTTTAGAATTCAGAATTTTAATACCCAGGAGGTTTTTCTTTGGCATATCATCTCTTCTCCAATGCCATGAATGCTAGCTGAATTGACCTCACAAATGTAAAAAAGAGTGAAGACTAAGAAGAAATACCAAGGAAAAAATTAGTTGATGATTCAAAACACAAATTCCCTACAAATCCATTTTTAATGTCATGCTTTTATCTGGATCAGAAATACAAGTAACAGGCATAGGTGGAAGGGCATTATCATAATCTCTTCCTCCCAATGGAAGGAAGAAAACTTCCCAGCAGTTTTCTTCCAGTTTGCAGTGGACATCCATGTACTCAGGGCACTTAGAATGAGATTGGAGTCTCCTCTGACCTATTCACTCCTGTTAAGCTGGGCCTCAGTTTTTGCCTTTAAAAATGGGATGGCTGAAGAACATGATTTTTAAGTAACAGGTGCTGGTGAGATTGCAGAGACAGAAGAACACTTCAACACTGTTGGTGGGAGTGTAAATTACTTCAACCATTGTGGAAAACAGTGTGGCAACTGCTCAAAGACCTAAAAACAGAACCACCATTCTAGCCGGCAGTCCCATTCCTGAGTATATACCCAAAAGAATATAAATTATTCTAATCTTAAAGACACACACATGCTAATGTTCATTGCAGCACTGCTCACAACAGCAAAGACATGGAATCAACCGAGATGCCCATCGATGGTAGACTGGATGAAGAAATGTACATATATACCATGTAGTACTATGCAGTCATAAAAAGGAGCAGGATTGTGTCCTTTGCAGGAACACGGATGGAGCTGGAGGCCATTATCCTTAGCAAACTAACACAGAAACTGAAAACCAAATACAATATGTTCTCACTTATAAATGGGAGCTAAATAATGAGAACACATGGACACATAGAGGGAAACAGCAGCCACAGGGTCCTACCAGAGGGTGGAGGGTGGAAGGAGGGAGAGGACTAGGAAGAATAACTAATGGGCGCTAGGCTTAATACCTAGGTGAAACAGGCGTACCAAATGAAATAATCTGTATAACCAACTCCTGTGACACAGGTTTACCTATATGATAAACTTGCACATGGACCACTGAACTTAAAATAAAAGTTAAAATAAAAGTCAGAGTGAAAAAAAGTTTAAAAATACTTTATTTTTAGGGCCATTTTAAATTCAGAGCCCAATGACGGAATGGACAGAAAGCTCCTGCATACCTCCTGCCCCAACCCATGCACGGATACCGCCTCCTGGACTATCAACGTCCCTATAATTGTTTGTTACGATTGTGGTACATTTGCTACAATTGATGAACCAGCACTGATACATCCTTATCACCCAAAGTCCACAGCTTACGTCAGTAACCATTGGTGTTGTACATTCTAGGGGTTTTGACAAGTATATAATGACTTGTACCCTCCATTATATTACCACACAGAGTAGTTTCTCTGCTCTGAAAGTCTTCGGTGCTCCATACACTTACATTTACATTTTCCCAGTCCCTGGAAACCACTTATCTTTTTAATTTGCCTTTTCTAGAAAGTTACATAGTTGGAATCAAACGGATTGTAGCTATTTCCTTTATTCCTTTTCCACTATTTCCTTTAATTAGATTGGCTTCTTTTGGTAATACACATTTAAAGTTCTTTGGTAGCTTTTCAGGGCTTGATAGCTCATGTCTTTGTAAAGCTGAATAATATCCTATTGTTCAGATATATCTGTTTACTTATCCATTACTTATTGAAAGACATCCCAAATTTTGTTAATTATGAATAAAACTGCTATAAGCATTCATGAGTAAGTTTTTGTGTGGACACAGGTTTTCAGTTTCTTTGGGTAAATTCTAAGGATCATGAATGCTAGATTGTATGGTAAGCGTATGCTTAGATTTTGAGACTGCAAGACTGTCTTCCAAGGTGAATGTACTATTTTGCATCCCATCAACAATGAATGAGACTTCCTGTTTCTCCACCTCCTCAGCAGCATTTGGTGTTGTCAGCGTTTTGGATTTTTGCAAGGCTTATTTTTCGGTACTTTTCTTTTATGTTGCTATTGTTTGGCTTCAAGTAGAATCTCTAGGTTGTCTTGTTTTAAGTGAAATCAAGAAACAAGAATGAGCTGGCATAGTCAAGCTGGTTGGCTTATAAAAACTGGAAAACAGGAGGCTAGAAGATAGAACCCAAAATTGTGATAATAATCCTATGCACACTTTGGTTACCTATCCACCAACTGTTGTCCTGAATTGTGATTTGGTTAAGACATCTACTCTTTCTACATACAGCATTTACCCCAGGAGAATCTGAATTCACTCCAACTTGAGGGATGGGCTAATTCTATCCTCATTTCCAGTGAGGGTGGAAAGGGTTATGTGACTCAATTTTGGCCAATGACAAGGAAGTTCTGTTTGTGGGTACCCGGGAGAGAAAGGTCCAGATTCCTAAGAAAGAGGCACAGGATGAAATAGTCATTTCTTGTGCCTGCTATTATGTCTGAATGAGACACTTAGGATTGCTACAGCCATCTGCAGCCCTTGTGAGGACAAACTCATCACCAAGAATGAAGGATTTGGGAGATGGAAAGAACTTGGGGCCTTGGGTACGATATTTAGCCCTTGGATCAACTTCCCCCAAAGGCATTCCTACTTGACTTCTTGTTAGGTGAAAAAAGACACATCTTTATGGTTAAGTTGAGTTAGAGTTCTGTCATTTATATTTGGAGTTGTCTTCACTTATAAATACTAATGCTATTTTCTTTGTATGGGGAGTAAAATAATTTAGAAGACTTGAATACTTAATATGGGTCATGAGTAGCAGTGCCAGGGAGAAGGAATTGACTTTCATGGTTCTGGATTTATGTTTAGTGAAGGGCAGAGAGGAAGAAAATTAAGAGAAATATTCTTATATTGGAAGGTTGGTGATAACTAAGAATGGCATTATTTTCTGGTAACAATTAAAATTGGATTAATAACATTCTAACTTTTATTAGCTTTAACTCATTCTCTATTCCAGCTATTAGACTCACTTCAAACACAGAAGGTACATTGAAAGATGGGATCTCATCTCTTTGTCTTTTTTATTCTTCTGAGACCAGAAGTCACCTTCCACTTGTACCCAGCCTGTTCTTTCCTGACATCTCTGATAATTCACTAGTCCTAAGGGACTGAGGTCACCGAGTCCCATACAGACACACAGATTGGATATAGGTCACAGAAGTGTATTTTATGTTGCTGTTATGACAGAGTTTAAAAAGCAAGATTTTTTTTCACTCTTCCCTACATATTGAAAGATGTCACAAAAAAAGAAGCCTCTGAAGTTGTGTCCCGGGTGCCCTACATTAGGCAGAGCAGAAGCTCCCCTGTTTGCCACAGTCCTCACCACTCCCTATTGCCTTATGATCAACCCTCCAAACCCACTCACACTCCTTTCCTCAACACCTATTAACATTTGAGTTTGTTGCCTCTATAATCATTCTAAGCTGGCATCCTGCTTGCTCCCTCATTGGAAGGATTTCCACCACCAAATGCCCTACAAGGTAATGTTCTCATTCCAGGCACATAAGCATTTGTAAGAAAGAACAAAACACTGGTGACTGGAAAAGTCAAACTTTAATGAGGAAACGAGCCAAAATATTCACTTTATTTTTACAACTATAAGGAAAAATTTAAAAAGAAGAAATAATTGGAGCTAATTTTTTATTTTAGAGTGGACATTTTGATTTAATTTATTTAACATTTTTAAAAAGTTGACATTTATGTCTGAGAATTATCTCACAGTTAAATATATAATATCTGAATGGGATCAAAATGATTATAATTTTTAATCATTTTTAATTTCCTGAAAGGAATTACTCTGTATGTTGCAAACATCCATTTTTTAATAACGAACTTGCTTATCCTAAAAGTTTGTAAAGAAGGGTTCATTTGTAATTTTTCTTCTTAATATATTCATTTACAAAAGCAGTAATAAATTGATATAACATGTCAAAACCCATTAGATATAGCTAAGGCACATCCAGCTCTATCTATAAACAAATCCAGACTCATGGAATACTATGCAGCCATAAAAAATAGTGAATTCATGGTCCTTTGCAGGGACATGAATGAAGCTGGAAGCCATCATTCTCAGCAAACTGATACAGGAACAGAAAATGAAACACCACATGTTCTCACTCATAAGTGGGAGTTGAACAATGAGAACACATGGACACAGGGAGGGGAACATCACACACTGCGCCCTGTCAGGGGTTTGGGGGCAAGATGAGGGAGAGCATTAGGTCAAATACCTAATGCATGTGGGGCTTAAAACCTAGGTGATGGTTTGATAGGTGCAGCAAACCACCATGGCACATGTATACCTATGTAACAAACCTGCATGTTCTACACATGTATACCAGAACTTAAAGTAAAATAAATTTAAAAAAAAAAAAAAAAACACGAACTCTTGCACGGTTACATTGTAATATGGAGCTTGAATCACAAGTCATTTAAACCTTATCAACCACCACAAACGTCCACCAAAGATGCTGGAAATTTAAAATGTGTTTGGATAGAAGTATCTTCAAATCTCCCTCTTGTGATGAGTGGATATTCAACCTATGATTTGTGGGGCTTGCTCCAGAATCTGCCTTGGTAATAGAGTAAACTATAGTAAACTCTTTACTAAAGAGTTGGGAGGCCGTTTGAGTGAATGGATGTGAACAGAATAATGGGTAAAGGCTAAGTATGCCTCACACAAAGAAATTAAGGAAGGTTTGGAGCACATAGGATGTGCCAACTAGGCATTCCGTTCAGTTGCAGGTAGCATAGATCTCTTCTAAAATAGGAGTTTATTTCTCCCTCACATATCATAAAGTCCAGAGGTTAGTGGTAGAACTTGTATAATAGAAACTTAGTTCCATCAATATCCACCTACATCCTATCTTTCTCTCTCTTCTCTGCCATCTGTAATCGCTGACTTTTATTCTCATGTTTATCTCAACATCACAAGAGGGCATCTGTATACCAGCCATCACTTCAGCATCCCAGACAGGGCAAGAAGGAAGGTGAGAAAGACAAAAGAACAATTGCCACCAGAGTCACCTCCTCATCTAAGTATTCCTTGTAGATGCCATCCGATAACTTCATAGCCTTTATTTCCATCTTATTGGCTGCTGTTGAGTCACATGGTGATGTCTATCTGCAAGAGAAATTGATCCATGCAGTTTTTGTTTGTGTGTGTGTTTAGGTATATTTATTTTTCCACTTCCAAGAAAACTACAGCACTTTTCGAAAGAAAGGTGAATACACAATAGACAAGAGAGGTCCAATTTTAAGATGACAAGCGTCCTGACACACCAGCCTGCAGGATCCCATGAATATCACTGACTTATGCACTACCAGCAAATGTGCCACTCCTAAGTTCTACCTATTCTGTTTCTCAGTATTTATCTATAAATTGACACACTGTTGCGTTTAAATTCATCTATTTAAAAATGAACCTTTTCTTAAACTCTAAGTGAAAAAAATGACTACATCTTGCCACAAAAATAAATATAATAAAGATGAGCAATTTCATAGAGCTCTACCTACATAATCATACCTCCAAAATTCTGAACATGGATTTGTTCTTTTAAATAGGAGCTCAAAAAGTGTAAAAAAAATGCTATTAAAATAAAAGATGATCCTTCTCTATCACCAGAAGGAAAAAAGAAGATGCTAATGGGAAATTATTCCTCATAATATTATCTAACTTTTTTTTCTTTTTCTTTTTTTTTTTTTTTTGAGATGGAGTCTTGCTCTGTCACCAGGCTGGAGTGCAATGGCACGACCTCGGCTCACTGCAACCTCCGCCTCCCGGGTTCAAGCAATTCTCCTGTCTCAGCCTCCCGAGTAGTTGGGATTACAGGCGTGCTCTAATTTTTGTATTTTTAGTAGAGATGAGGTTTCACCATGTTAGCCAGGAAGGTCTGGATCTCTTGACCTCGTGATCCATCCACCTCAGCCTACCAAAGTGCTGGGATTACAGGCGTGAACCACTGCACCCGGCCATATTATTTAACATTAAGATTGATAACACCTAAAATTATCTCACATTCCAGCCAAAGCACATGTCCTCTGTACTGACATTGTCTAACAGTTTCATTTACAGATGAGATAATGAAACCCAAGAAGGGCACACTGTTTTCCCGAGATTTACCGCAGACAAGGGGCTAGGACACATGTTACCAGCCTCTAAGTTTACAATCGTTCTGCTTCATCTCATCCCCTTTTATCAACACTAGTACATTCAGGAATTCTGAAGTCCCTGGAACACAAACTTCACTGCCTCAACACTACGTGGATTGTAGCACCCATGTCTGGTATTCTGCAAAGCAATGGGTAGACACCGGTTTATAAAACAGGTGTGCTGCCTGCCCCTGGGGTGCGCAAAACTGAATATCTGATTTGTTAGCAAAACAGATCAAAACAAAATGAATTCCAATGCAAAGCAAATGGCTGAGATTATCTTCAAACACAATAAAAACCAATTGATTGCCAAAAATGGTCTTTTGTGGGTTTTGATTCACTGTTTTCATTCACTAAAACGACACTGGCTGGAGATCGAGACCATCCTGGCTGACACAGGCATGGTGGCACTTGCCTGTAGTCCCAGCTACTCGGGAGGCTGAGGCAGGAGAATCACTTGAACCCAGGAGGCAGAGGTTGCAGTGAGCCGAGATCACACCACCACTGCACTCCAGCCTGGGTGACAGAGCGAGACTCTGTCAAAAAAAAAAAAAAAAAAAAAGAAAAAAGACCCTGGCACTCAGTTCCTTCATCATCAGAGTGCATTTTTTCTTTTTTCTATATGTGTTAGGATTTAATTTAACATAAAGTGCAAAGAAATGTTCAATTGCTTTATTTCCTCATATAGAAAAAAAAAAAAAGACTCATCTTTAAGTTAAGCTTGATTTTTATTCTGTTATATCATTTAACACATTTCCATGAGTCTATTTAAAGATATGGGCTAGCACATGAAATATTAGCATGTGGCCAGACTCTGAACATTTAGTCCGGACCCCAGGACTTCATTTGCAAGTGTAGATTTCATTAGGTTAATGAGAACAGTGACCACACAACAGCAAGGGAGCCTGTCTCCAGTGGGGAGGACGTCCAGAGGAACTATTACAATCACAGTTTCTTACTTTTTTTTTCCTTCTTGAATTCATAAGTCAAAGTTAAGATTTGCTTAAAATGTCACAGAGTTGAGACATTTGTTGAGGGTGAAAATAACTCCATTGTCTTAGATAGACAATTCCTGAATGTGTGGAGATGCTCACCAGACAGGTTCTTTTTGCCCATTGCACGGACAAAACCAATTCGCTGAGACAATGGTATTGCAGTAAAGAAACAGTTTAATTGAAACTAGGCCAGCCATGCAGGGAACAGAGTTATTACTCAAATCAGTCTTCCTGGAGGCTTAGAGGTTAGGATTTTTCAAAGATGCTTTGGTGAACAGGAGGCTAGAAAATGGGTGCCATTGATTGGTTGGATATGAAATCATAGAAGTGTGGAAAATGATCCTTGTGTGCTGAGTTTATCTCCAGGTGGGGCCACAGGATGGGTTCAGTCATGACTCACGAGTCTAGGTGAGTTCAGTTGATTGCCAGAATGCAAAGGTCTGAAAAACATCTTGAGAGACCAATCTTAGGCTCTATAGTAGCGAAGTTATCCATAGGAGCAATTGGGGGCGACTCAAATCTTGTGACCTCTGACCACATGACTCCTGAGTAGTAAGGATGATAGAAACGATGCCTACATTTTAGCTGAATTCAGACTCCTCCCATGATCCTCATCTTCAGGCCTTTCATCAGTTTTTGGTCCCTGAGCAAGGAGGAATTAGTTTTAGGAAGGCACTATTAATCATCCTTGCTCTCAGTTAAACTATAAATTCCTCCCATCGTTAGCTTGGCCTGTGCTCCGGAATGAGTGCAGATAGCTGGCCTGCGAGGCTTGAGGCAAGATGGAGTCAACCATACATGACTTCTCTCACTGCTCTAACTTTTGCAAAGGCAGTTTCAGTGTTTTGTGTGATGTGTCTTCTACTCAACCATCCAGGTTCATTCTTTCACACTTCTAGGCTGAGACACAGGTCCACGTCTTAAGTAGCAAAAGATGCTCCCGCCGGACGTGGTGGCTCACACCTGTAATCCCAGCATTCTGGGAGGCTGAGACAGGTGGATCACAAGGTCAGGAGATTGAGACCATCCTGGCTAACACAGTGAAATCCCGTCTCTAATAAAAATACAAAAAAAAATTAGCCGGGCGTGTTGGTGGGTGCCTGTAGTCCCAGCTACTCAGCAGGCTTAGGCAGGAGAATGGCATGAACCCAGGAGGCCAGACTTGCAGTGAGCCGAGATTGCACCACTGCACTCCAGCCTGGGCGACAGAGGGAGACTCCATCTCAAAAAAAAAAAAAAAAAGATGCTCCCTCTGACCTTGAATTAGGAGAACAGTAAACATATTCAGGACCAACAACTGTCACCCCATCAGGCAGAACTCACCACTCACCTGGAACAATTCAATGCAGCTCAAATTCGAAATCAAATCTAGGTTCTTAATGTGATACTTGGAGCCTGTGCCTGCCCCCGGAGGCTTGTTTCTTACCTGGTTTCCCCCTTACATGCCGGCCTGCAAAGAACTGAGGAAAAAACATCAGTTGTTTGCTGACATTTAAAAATAAAAGGATCTAAGGCCAGGTGTGATGGTCCAAGTCTGTAACCCAGCACTTTGGAAGGCTGCGGTAAGTGGATTGCTGAGCTCAGGAGTTCAAAACCAGCCTGGGCAACATAGTGAATCCCCTCTCTACCAAAAATACAAAAAATTAGCCTGTTGTGGTGGAGAGTGCCTGTGGTCTCAGCCACTCAGGAGGTTGAGGTGGGAGCATCCCTTGGCCTGGGAGGCAGAGACTGCAGTAAGCTGAGATCCTGCCACTGCACTCCAGCCTGGTTGATGGAGTGAGACTCTGTCTCAAAATAAATAAATAATAAAATATAAAAAATAAAAATTAAGAATTAAAAAAATAAAATTAAAAATAAAAGGATCTGACAACAAATGACAGACTTCTGGCACTTTTTGGCAAATCTAAGGGATCTACTAACACATTTCTTCAGAGTAACGACCATGGAGCTTTTAGATGGGTGCCTTCATTTCCTGAGGCAGATGCAACAAACGGCCTGAAACAATACAGGTTGATTCTCTCACAGTACAGGAAGCTGGAAGTTTGGCCGGCAGAGTCACACTCTCTCTGAAGGCTCTAGGGGAGGATCCTCCCTTGCCTGTGCTGCCTCTAGGTCTTCCTGCCTCGGCTGGTGGCAGCTGCACTCTCGTCTCCACCTCTGTCTTCACAGGTCTCCTTCCCTGTGTCTTAAATCTTCCCCTGCTTTATTTTATAAGGACACCAATATTTAGATTTAGGGCCCACCCTAAATCAAGGATGGTATGATCTCAAGATCTTTAGCTCAATTACACCTGCAAAAATCCTAGTTCCAAAATAAGGCTCATAGGTGCCAGGAGTTGGGTGTCAGAAATAATTTTTGGGGGACGCTATTCACTCCCCTAGTGGGGTCTCCACCTTCCAGCATCTTCCCCATTCCATCTTGTATATGGCCAGATTCTCCTTGCCTATCTCATTCACCTATGCATTAGAGTTTCTAAACCTGATTCCAGCGTATCTTCCAGCCCACGGTTTTGAACGGAACCGTCAAAACTAAATTGCACTGGGCAGAGTTACGGAAGGCTTCGTTCAAAGCTACTGCAATACGGTAAAGAGACCAGAACTCAACTCAGTTTGAGCACAGCTCCTCTGAAGTGCGTGTGTGTGTGTGTGTGTGTGAAAACCCGGGGTCAGGGAATTGTAGGCCATCCTTCTTGGTGAATCGGCTTTCCCCAGAGAAAAAGTGAACTTTCTCGTATCTTTACTACAAGAGGGAATTTTAACACTTGGAGCAAGATTTCCGCTGAAGTTAGGCTCCTTCCCTCCCACAGAGACAGAGAGAGAGGGCAGCCCATGTTCCTGGATGACTATATTTCAAAGGAATGGCTCCCAGGTCCTTGAGAAAGACGGGCCAGGTTTTTAACTCTGGCAGGAGGATTTGGAACAGATTTGCATCTCCAAGGGGCAGAGAAAGAGCCCCAGTGGCAAGTCTTCTAAAGTAAATGCTCTAAGAATAGGGAAACCAGGGACCCGGAGGCAGCAAGAAGAGTTAAACCAAGAGGGACATTAGGGCTGTCTTGGTCTGTACCCATGCCTCTTACCTGAGTCCTTACATTTATTCAAGCAATTGATTTTTACTTCCCAGTGGCAAGCTCAAGGACTATTCTGAGTCTGTTTCTTCACCTGTCGAAAAGGAAAATAAAGTCACTGCTTCGTAGGGTTGATATGAAGAGCAAATGAGATGAAGTATTTAAAACACCATGGTGACAGGGGCATGTGGACCCGAGACCGCCTGATCCCACACGTGTAGCTCAGCTTTAGGTCACAAATGACCGGAAGACAGCCCTCAAATCTTGCCTGTATTATTGCCAATGAAGAAAATCTTTCCCACCAAGGTCATGCCCTTTTAGGGGTGGCTCATAGTCAATAATAGTAATAATCGTGAAACCGCCTTTGCAAAATTATGACTGAGACAGTGAGAGAGCTAACTTAACAGACTCCATCTTGCTTCTAACCTCCAAGCTGTCCTTCTTCATTCCTAGGCTTAGGCTGAACTAACTTTGGGAGAAACTTGGTTTACAGTTTAAACAAGGACATAGTTTTATATAGTTTAAACAAAGTTTATAGTTGAAACAAAGATGGAAACAGCCCTTTCCCAAAGCTGACCTCCTTCTTGCCTGGGGACTACGTTGCCTTTGTAGGACTCACATTAGCCACAAGATTAGAAATTATGGTTTAGGAGTCATGCAACTGGAGGCTACAAGATTCAGACCCTCCCTAAACTGCCCCTAATGTCAGTGCTTGAGACATTTTGCAGACCCTGCACTTGATGGATCAGCTGGCACCACCCAGAATGATAAACTGGCTCATCTGATCTTGTGACCCCCACCGAGGAACTGACTCAGCCCAAGAAGACAGCTCGGATTCCCTGTGATTTCATCCCTGACCAATCAGCACTCCTGGCTCACTGTGATTTCATCCCTGACCAGTCAGCACTCCTGGCTCACTGTGATTTCATCCCTGACCAATCAGCACTCCTGGCTCACTGTGATTTCATCCCTGACCAATCAGCACTCCTGGCTCACTGTGATTTCATCCCTGACCAATCAACACTTCTGGCTCACTGGCTTCCTCCAAACCACCAAGTTGTCCTTAAAAACTCTACTCCCTAAATGCTCAGGGATACTGATTTGAGTAATAATAAAACTCAGGTCTTCCATACAACTGTACCTATGTGAATTACTCTTTCTCTATTGCAATTCCTCTGTCTTGATGAATCCACTGTGTTTAGGCAAGGTGGACCTCTTTGGTGGTTACCATTGCTGAGGAGTAAATGCCGGACCTGATGCAGCACAGCTCTGACAGGCCATGTGGGCTCCTGAGCACAAACAGAATGGGCTGAGGCCTCCAGGACCACCTCCAAGCACAACATCCTGCTCTGCCAGCTTTCTCCCCCTTTTCCCACAGATATTTATATCAAGGACACTCCCAGATAAATGTCTTGCATGCTAAACTCAATTTCGGAATCTCCTTCCTGCAAAAAAAAACAAACTGCAATGTGCACTCAGCACAGAACTTGGAAAGAGACACCTCTCAGTCACCCATGGTGACTTCCTCCACTGCCAGGGCTGCCGCTGCTGTCACTATTGACCTCAGCAGCCTTTCCCATGCCAGGCACTGAGTGAAGCCATCCCCCTAGGATTGATAAGAATTGAAAAACCTTGTATGGTTTTGGACAGAAATAGAGTTACAGGTAGGGATGCCTCAGGCTGTACTCTGGCCCCTTCCTTGTTGCTAGAAGCCCAGTAGCACCAGGTCCTCACCTGGTGCTTTCCTGTTGCTCCTACAGACAGGATTTTGGACACAGGGTCATGAGACCGTTGAAGGATTGACTTGCATTCCCATTGCTCCTGTCGACAGGACGTCTGACAGTCAGCTCATGGGGCTTCTGTTTACGGATTGCTTAGGATGTTTTTCAGATCCCAAATTCTAGCAACTAGTGTGTAGACCCCCCACAGAAGAATGAGATCAGCATGAGAATATAGCTTCTTCCCCTCCCCGGCCCATGGCTTTGCCCTGCATTCTTCAACCAATCAACAATTTCTACCCTTCAGCCCACTCCAAATCTCTTCAAACCCTAGCCCCAAATTCCTGGTGGAGACGGATTTGAGGTTTCCTCCCACGTCCTCCTTTGGTGGCCTTATGATTAAAGCCCTTTCTCTGCTGCAACCCCATGCCTCCAGGTGTTGACTTGCTGCATGTGTTGGGTAGGGACCTATTGCGGTTACACGGGGAGGCAGTGCCCCCCTACCATCCTCTTTGCATTCTGCCACTGAACAGATGCTTCCTACATGGCTGCTAATGTGGGCCCTCCTGTTTCAAGGTCCCCAGTTCAGAAGTCTCATTTGCCCAAAACGCACTGTCATGGGGCCACGTTCTTCCCTTTGCTCTTGGAGAATAGACAAAGCCATTCAGCCCAGCTACAGCCTCAAAGTCTTGTCCTACCTCCCTCTCCAGCCTCACCTCATTCCAGGCTCCAGTTCCGTATCTCTCTCTAGCAACACTGATTTTCCTTTAGTTTCCTGGATTTGCCTCTGTTTCTTCTGCCAACAATGTACTGGGGTGAAGCCATAGCTTCTTTATTTACTTCATTTTTTTTATGTTTCTCGTTTGCTTCAATTCAAACATCTTGTCTCAGATGGAATGCAGAAGCAGAGATGAGAATCCTGCTGTCTTCTATTAAAGAAAACATTATGCATAATTGCAAAACTATAGTATGATGCTGGTATCCTCAGAGTAATTTTCTTTTGAAAAATGTAATTTTCATAAAAATATTTTATGTATATTCACTTTTAATAGGTTTGTTTTTGTTAGTTTTAAATGAAATAACAAATACTTTGAATATCTCAATGTTTAATATTGTATTAATAATGTTATATATTAGTATAATAATCATATAATATTGTTATAATAATGTATTAAATATAGATGCACCTGAGGTATAGAAACAAAACACCTTTGGGGTCCTCAATAACTTCTAGCGTGTAAGTCACCAGTGAGAATACCTGAAATGGACAAAACATGACAGATCCTATCAAGCTCAGACGTGGGTGTAGCTCTTTCCATCTCTAGCCTCATTCACCCTTGCCTCCTGCCCCAGTGAATGTCATTCTCCAACAAAGTGTTTGAAAAGATATTTCTCTTTTAAAAAAGTACACAGATGGACAATTAGCAAAGGAAGAGATGCTCAACATCGTTAGCCATTAGGGAAATGCAAATCAAAACCACAGTAAGGTTATACTTCACAACTACTAGGGTGGCTACAATGAAAAGACAAGTAACAACTAATGTTGATGAGGATGTGGAGAAATGGAAAGCTTCATAAGTCCTGGTGAGAATGTAAAATAATGCAACCACTTTGGAAAAGAGCTGGATGTTCTTCAAAAAGCTAAACACAGTTACTAAATGACCCAGCAATTCCACACCTAGGTATGCACTTAAGAAAGATGAAAATGTGTGCACACAAAAGCTTGTACAAGAATTTTCAGAGCAATATAGTCATAACAATCATGGAATGAAAACCACCCAAATGTCTCTCCACTTGAATGCATAAACAAACTATGGTCTATCTAGACAACAGCATAACATTCATCCATTAAAAAAATGAATTACCGATGCATCCTACAGCAAGGATGAACCTTAACAACATTATGGTAAATGAGAGGATCCTGTCCCAAGAGATCATCATATGTTATGTGATTCTATTTGTATGAAATGTCAAGAATAGGCAAAATTATAGAGACAAAATGTAAATTAGTTGTTACTTAGCACCTGGAGGGTAGAGATGGAGGGTCATGGGAGTGGCTGGCAATGGGCACAGTGCTTCTTTTTGCGGGGTGAAAATGTTCTAAAATCAGATTTTGCTGGTAGCTGTGAACCTAATAAAACCATTTAATTGTACCCTTTAAATGCACAGTTGTGTGGTCTATGAATTATATCCCAATTAATTTGTGAAGTTGCATTTTCAAACATTAGTAACAGTGAGTTATGTTTAAAATTGTTATTTTGGGAAATTCAGATAATGTCCTGGTTAAACTTGAAGTTCTTTACCTCTACATAGCTACCCAATAATACGCTACTAATGAAAACTTAAATCCCATTTACAATTTATTCCTCCAGAGGCGAGCAACTTTATTAAACAACTTCCTTTTTGGGGGTGTGGGGGGAAATAAAAGCATGAAGCAATTCTCTGTCTTCTTCATCTTAGTGTTTTCAGTACCTAAATGTCTAAGACAAGTTCCAAGACAAAACATGTAAAACCTACTGTAGATATCATAGTGTGGACGTCTTGTCAAGTGATCATGTTTAAATGAAATTAATTCCTCTTTCCTTCTCACAGTCTTTGAGTGTGCCCAGGGTGTACCATCATGGGACCATGTTCTTCCCCTTTGCTCTTGGAGAATAGACAGAGCTACTCAGCCCAGCCACAGCCTCATAATCTCGTTCTACCTCCCTCTCCAACCTCAACTGTTTCCAGGCTCCAGCTCAATGTCATACATCAGGTAGGTGGCATTCTCTAATAGCTGTCTATTTTCTCAGTCCCTTTTACTTCTTAAGCTCAAAATTGCCCGTTCTTTGTTTGGGCAGTGTTGAGGCTAACTCAAGGTGACTGACAGACTTCTTCTCCTTTTGTCAGGTCATCTTTAAAGATGAGAGTGATTGACCTAAGTTAAACTACAAGTCTGTGCATAAATCACTGTGGGGCATTTCTTGCCAAACTTTTATGGATAATAGGAGAGAGATGGCTGGCATCATCTCTTCTAGATATTTTTGTGTTGATTAGGATGTGATGGCATGAGATACAGCGGTCACTTTTCAATGATAAGGAAAAAGCCAAAGGATTCCAAAACATTCTCTTGATTCCTCTAAACCCCTGTACTAACTCCAGTAACCTCTAGAAATTCTGTCACGTGAGGAAAAGCAATCTCTAATGTTTAAGCCATTATGATTCATTTCACAGTTATTTGCCGATAAACTCAATTCTGCTTGATAGAAAATATCATGATGGTCTTCCTATTTCCTATTTTTCCATGGATTATACCTTGTGTGTACATCTGCCTCTTCTACTATATTTAAAATTATTTGGGGATATATTCAAATCTTATTCACCTGTATGGTCTTCAGAGTGCAAAGCAGAGAAAATTGCTATAGCATACTTGAAGGGCAGCCTTAAGAATACCACGAGTTATCCCAAAATTTAATGAAAACAAAACTAAACAAAACAACATCACAAGGACTTACTGTGCCTGGTTCTGAGCATCAGTGAATCACAAAATACAATCTCTGCCCTCAAGAAGTTCATGATCTTCTGAGGAGAAAATGAATTTTTCTAATACAATTAGTTTTCTGTAAAACATGGCCATTTACAAATAAGTTGTATCTTTTCAATGTTTTCAGCTGTAGCTACAGAAAATCCTGGCTCATCAGACTTCTGCAATGAAGGATCTTATTCTCTCTCTTAGAAAGCCCAAAGATCCAGCAGCAGGGAGTGGGGTTGCTAAGTTGGCAAAGTCAACAGTTCAGCAATGTCAACTTGTCCCAGGTTCCATTCATCTCTCTGCACAGCCATCCTCAGAATGGTGTCTTCCTTAGACTAGTGGTAAGGTGACACCTGAAATTCCAAGTGCCATCAAACGAGGTAGGAGGCTCCTCATAAGGAAGGCAGCAGGTAGCTTCCTACATCTCTTTTTCAGAAGAGCAAAGCTTTTTAATAGAATTCCCCTAGTAAAATTCTCCTTATATCTTGTTCATCTTAGTAAGGTCATAGGTCTATACATTCCTGAACAGCGATTGCAAGGGAACTAGGATACTTCAGGGTCAAGCAGACCTGCCCTGTCCAAGGCTGTAATGGTGAGAAGTGAATCCCTGGAAAACATTATGGCTTAGCTAGGCAGGCTTGAGCAGGCAGTAGATTCTGTGTGTGTAAACAACAGTTTTCATGGAAAACATAACAAACAATTCTAGAGTCAGTCACAAGTTAAGTGATTCATGAACACTTCAGAACATTTGAGCACACATTATACCAGATCTCTTCAAAAATTACAGGGAAATACTTTACTTGATATGCCAGATGTGTCCAAGGCTGACCCTTTGATTCTCAGAACACACGTGCATTTGTGAGAGCTGTAACGGAAAAAAATAGAAGAATATTTGATGTTTTTTAATACATAAAGCCCTTGGAACTGAAATAGGGATCATTTCAGGAAAATTCAACTTTCCTCTGAATGTTTATAAACCTCTTTCCACAACATTTATTCAACAGAATTTTATTGATTTTCCAGTATATGACAGGCGCATATCTTCATTTCAAAATGGAAACATGAAGATTCACATTGCTAGCCATTTCCTCTACATGGAAAATTTGAAAAATTCATGCCATCTGAAACACCACCTCATCAAATGCATAGCTATTTGCCATATTCCTATCATTTGACTTTCAGGAACATCGACATATTTGAGAAATAGACCTCAATATGAACAAACATGAGGGGTGAAAACTGAAAATAAAATTCTAAGCACCCAACCAACTGGAAGGGCTCCCTCTTGGCCAAGGGGATTCCAAAGAAACCTGCAAAACTACTTCAGGCCACCTGTAGTCCCAGCTACTTGCGAGGCTGAGACAGAAGAATGGCGTAAACCCGGGAGGCGGAGCTTGCAGTGAGCTGAGATCGGGCCACTGCACTCCAGCCTGGGCAACAGAGTGAGAGTCTGTCTCAAAAAAAAAAAAAAAAAAAAAAAAAAAAAAAACAGTTCAGGCCATGAGTGGGGGGTGGTGGGTTGGACATACCTCATTATACCTTCCTCCCTTTGAAGTTCAGGTACAATTGACCAGCATTAACATTAAAACAGAGATCTCAAGACTGATAGAGCAGACTCTCTGTAACAATAAGTTACCAAATTCCAACCAGACTTTCATATATCACATGACAGATAGCAGGCTCTGAGGGAAATCAAAGTATTTTACACCAAAATGTATTTCTTTGCCATGCTTTAGAATGGTCCTGCACAGTTGTCTCTTGTGAGGGATACTTGCATTCTGTAGCAAATTCTCTTTCTTTACTAGGTCTTTTCCAGAGGGTCCGGAACATTTTAAAGGTCTGGATAGGAAACATTTGCCATCTATTGCCTCAAAGCATAGCCACCTATGAGTCTTCATCTACATAATAAGAACCTTGGTCTCCAGAACCCCTTATCTTAAGTCAGACATTCCTTTGTAATAATTCCAGGTCTTTAGATAATAAATGTTTCAACCAGTTGCCAATCAGAAAATCTTTGAATCCACCTATGACTTTCAGGTCCCCACTTTGAGTGGTCCTGCCTTTCTGGACCAAACCGATGTAAACCGTACATGTAGTGACCGATGTCTTATGTCTCCCTAAAATGTATAGTATAAAACCAAGCTATAACCCAATCACCTTGGGCACATATTCTCAGGAACTCTTGATACTATGCCTTGAGCCAGCCGTGGTCACTCATATTTGCCTCAGAATGAACCTTTTTAAATATTTTATAGAATTTGACTTTTTCCATCAATAACAGTGAACACACATTTTCCCTGTTAGAGGGAATCTTTTAAGTCAAGATGTAGTATTTGAAGACCCAGTTTATGGGGAAAGTTGAGTACTTAGAATTTAGGAAATTGAAAAGTATTGATCGTACAGAGCTGGAAGGAAGGTTGAAGAAGATATTTAACTGCCACCCTCTCAGACAAAATTACCAGACTATGCCATGTTCACTTTCCAACAGGGACCTCGCCCACACCTAGCACAACTCCGGGGGGCTCCATTTACATAGAATTCATGGGAATGGATGGCTGCAGATGTGAGTAAGGCTGCCCTGGCCCTGCATCTGCACCCTTGGCAGCCCTAAACTCACACCTCTGGGCTGGAAATCCTTTAGGTCCCGCTCATCTGGAAGCTGTCAGTCACCAGATTTACTGTCTGTCCTGGTTAGACCCTGTTACAGCCATTCCAGAGAGGGTCCCCCTGACCAAGACCCCACCCTAGACTTGCTCTGCCCTCCTGTTGAAATTCTCACTCCCTAACCTGAAGTTAAGCTTTCTTTCTGCTATGTTAGAACACTCCTGTCCTTTTGTGAGCAGGTAGTGGAAATGAGCTTGGTGTTCCAGGAACAGGCACTTAGTCGGTGGCTTCAACTGCAAACTGAATTGCTGATTCTTGTAGTCTGCCTCCACCTCCTCATCTCTTGAATTTAATTAGATCCACATTTTGCTCTGTTCTAACTGAGGTCATTTCTAGAATTTTGAGACATTTCTAGAAAATATATAGGGTTATCTTTCATTCTGGTTTGAAAAAGTAGAGGAAAGGAAAGTCTGAACTCATTCTATCTCACAATGCAGTTCAGTGGAAAATGCATTACTTCAGAGGTTGGGTCCCCTTGCCCTTCTCTGGGTGCCTGGAGAGAGCTCACAATAACATAGGCAATTTCTATTCCCTCTCCTGCCAGAGAGGAACAACTCTAGGCAAGACTGCGGTTGTCTCTATTTATTTTTACTAAAATATTTATACAAATTTAATTTAAATGCAAATGAGTCCCTTTCCACTTGGCTTCTGGATATCCATGAAGGCAGCATATTGTTAGTAGTTCCTGGAATTTCTGGTTGGACAACGAATAATTCCAGACTTAAACAGGATCTTCCCAGAGATTTCTCCTCTCACAGGCCTGATCCATCTGATCACTTTCTCAGAACACAATGATGCTGCATCTAATGCACTGTTATCTTCGTGACAGCTCAGCACTCCATGTCAAACCACCAAATCTAACATGTCTCTTTCTCATTTAACCCCTGATTGTGTCCTGTGTACTTTATACCTGGTGCTTCTGGACACACAAGGGAAAGTCATGCTTCCCTAGTTATCTATTTTGGTTAGGGCTTTCCAAATATTGGTTGTATTTTCTGTTCTTCAAGCAATAAAACAATAATATAATAAATAGTAGCAGATTCGTAGAAGCAGGCTTTCTGAGCCAGCGGTAAGGAGGGCATGTTAGAGGAGCCTTTGTGTGGCTGTTGACCAGTGGACAGTGTCAGTCATGTGTAGTAAATTGCAGCTCTTCTCAGTAACCCCCCATGCTCAGTTCCCATCCCCAGCAAATCTAGCGAGCTTCTTCATTCATTACTTAATTTTTCAAAATAATCAAGACAAAATATTTAAAAATAAATATTTGTAATAAATACAATATCATAAGCACATAGTTTAGAGATTTAAAAATATTGTGGAATATCTGCCCATAAAAAAAATCTAATTTCCTCACTTTCTAAAACCAACAATAAAGTACTTTAAAAAATGTTTCAGGCGTTTCCCAATAAGACAGCACACAGCCAAATCGCAGCCCAAAACTTACTTGTTCTTAATTTCATGAATTGCAGAGACAAACAAAAATAGTAAGTTTTTGAATATACTGAGCTTTTATTTAGTGCCAACTGATTCGCCCACATTATTTTATTGTAATCTAATTACACTGTACAATATGTTCAATGCCTCTTTTACAGATGAGGAAATGGAATAGTTAGGAAGTAACATGAATTGTATGGATTTATTTATTTATTTTGAGACAGAGTCTCTCGCTCTCTTGCCCATGCTGGAGTGCAGTGGCACAATCTCATCTTACTGCAACCTCCACCTCCCAGGTTCAAGCAATTCTAGTGCCTCAGCCACCCAAGTAGTTGGGATTACACGTGTGCACCACCATGCCCAGCTAATTTTTGTATTTTCAGTAAAGACAGGGTTTCACCATGTTGGCCAGGCTGGTCTCAAACTCCCAGCCTCAAGTGATTTGCCCGCCTCAGCTTCCTAAAGTCCTGGGATTACAGGCATGAGCCACCACGATCGGCTGAATTTAGAAAGATCTTAAGTAGTACAAGAGCTGATGTTTGAACTTAGAGCACTTTGACTTCAGAGTCTGTAATCTTAGCACGCCTCTACTAAGTCCCTAAAACAAGGTTAGCCCTTGATGAAGAAAGGACTGAGATGAGAGTTCTTTGGTGTCCTCATGAAACAAAATCTAATTCATGAGATGGGGAGTTAAAGGAGGGCAGGAGACCAGTGTTTGGCTTCTTCTTCTCCTAATTAAAAGGCTTCTTGGGAGGCCGAAGTGGGTGGATTGCCTGAGGTTGGGAGTTCAAGACCAGCCTGACCAACATGAAGAAACCCCATCTTTACTAAAAATATAAAATTAACTGGGCGTGGTGGTGTATGCCTGTAATCCCAGCTACTTGGGAGGCTGAGGCAGGAGAATGGCTTGAACCTGGGAGGCGGAAGTTACAGTGAGCTGAGATTGCCCCATTGCACTCCAGCCTGGGCAACAAGAGCAAAACTCTGTCTCAAAAAAAAAAAAAAAAAAAAAAAAAAAAAGGCTTCTCAGTGTGGGATTGGCGAACCACTAGCATAATTGTTCTATGTATTTATTTGACAAGTGCTATAATTGTTTTCTTTTAGTGTTTATGACTAAATCATGAAACTGTCTATACTTAAATGTATTCCAGAAAAACAAACCTTCAAAATATGCTATTAGGATATTCAATACAATATTTAAATATTAGGATATTCAGTACGATATTTAAATATTCACAATATTTAGAAGAAGAATATGCACGTTCTTCAGACTGCTCTGAAAGTTGATTTTCCATGTTGATCATGACAATGAAGTGGTTTGGAGAGTCCTCTGGCTGAAGGCAATTTAGAAACTTCATCCTGAACTGCATGCTATTTGCAGATTGTTAATGAGTGGATTGTTGTTTTGGGTTATAATTATAATTTCTGGGAGTATGGCCAAAAATGGAATGCAGTGCTGAAGGGTTGACCTTTTCCTCCTATGGTCCCTCCTTCATAAATTGGTTTATTGGAAATATTTTTAAAGCACAATAGAGACAAAAGGGTAGGGGTATAGTATTCACAAACTAGTGAGATACATCTTGAATGACTTACATGTAAACATTGATGCGTCAGCTTGACGACTTCTGTAGTCTCTGGATATTCTCAGGTAGCCTTTACAGAGAGAAAATACAATTCTTAATACTAAGACCTGACTGCATATTTTTTGATAATTTCTCTTCTTTCCTCATTGAATGCCAGGATGGCTTTTCTATGCAGATATCTTGACACACAGTGCCCAACTTTGATCCTGAATTCTGAGAACCACAGTCCAGAATAGATGCTAAAACCTTTCAATATTAGCAGCCTTCCCCTATGACTTTATGAAGTGCAACCCTACAGGAGAGCTCAGGAAGCCACATCTTCCATCTGTCACCTTCTGACTGTTGATCCTATGGGTTCACAGGCCAGGGGGATGCTGGTGAGGACCCTTTTCACTGGGACCCCCAGGAGTTCCTGACAGAGGAGACAGACTTAGAGACACAAATAGTCTGGTGAGAAAGGAGCTTAATGTCATGAAATGTTGCAGGAAGTCAAGGACCCTGAACAGAAGGACCTGTTGAAGCCATGACAGAAGAACATAAATTGTGAAGATTTTATGGACATTTATCACTTCCCCAGTCAATACTCTTATAATTTCCTATGCCTGTCTTTAATCTCTTAATCCCATCATCTTCGTAAGCTGAGGATGAATGTCGCCTGTGATGATTGTGTTAACTGCACAGATTGTTCGTAAAGCATGTGTGTTTGAACAATATGAAATCTGGGCACCTTAAGAACAGGATAACAGTGATTTTCAGGGAACAAGGGAGATAACCTTAAAGTCTGGCTGCCTGTGGGTCGGGCAGAACACAGCCATATTTCTCTTATTACCAAAAATGGGTAAGAGAAGTAGCTGAATTCTTTCCCCAGTAAGGAATATTAATAATTAACAGCCCTGGGAAAAGAATGCATTCCCGTCGAGGGGGGGCCTCTGGCCACTCTAGGGGGTGTCTGCCTTATGCAGTTGCAGATAAGGGATGAAACACACCCTGTCCTCCTGCAGCGCCCCCAGGCTTGCTAGGATTAGGAAATTCCAGCCTGGCGAATTCTAGTCAGACCTGTTCTCTGCTCTTGAACCCTGTTAAGACGTTTATCCATGACAATGTGTGCACAGCAGAACATGGAACTTCATTAGTAACTCTAGTTTTGCCCTGACCTTGTGATCTTGCCCTGACCTTCTGCCTTGTGATCTTTTGTTGCCCTTGAAGCATGTGATCTCTGTGACCCACACCCTGTTCGTACACTCCCTCCGCTTTTGAAAATTGCTAATAAAAACTTGCTGATTTTATGGCTCAGGGGGCATCACAGAACCTGCCGACATGTGACGTCTCCCCCGGACACCCAGCTTTAACATTTCTCTCTTTTGTGTTCTTTCCCTTTATTTCTCAGACCAGTCGACACTTAGGGAAAGTAGAAAGGAGCCTATGTTGAAATATTGGGGAAGGTTCACCCAATAATGAAGTATTAAAAAATCTAATATATTTGAAAATTTACAAGAGAATATTTTGGAAGGAAACTTCAAGAAATGTAGAAGACAGGGAGAAGAAAGGAATCTCTGAAAGTCACCTCTTTGGGTGGAAATTTTCTCATTTCTCTATTTGTGGTCACCACTGTACACTGGTAACAAGATTTCCTGCCATAAAAATTTCTCAGATGGTGAAATTATTTATAATATGAATAAATTTATTTCTTCCTATGTGCCTTTGTTTGTTTAAACATATTTTTGAGTACTTAATGTGAGTCAGTCTTACTTTAGATACCAGGATTGTGGAGTTGATCAAGACAGAGAGGACTCTCATCCCCTATTACTTAGTTTTTCAATAGGATCAAAATAAAATACTTTTAAACAAATGTTTATAATAAATATAATGACATAAACACATAGTCTGGAGATTTAAAAAATATAATAGACTATCTGCCCATATAAAATGTAACTGATTTCTCCACTGCCTAAAATCAACAATAAAGCATATCCAAAGTGTCTCAAGACTCTAAAAAGAGTTACACTTTTGTGAAAGGAGACAGGCAGTAGATATATAAAAGATGATATAATTTTAGGTAGTGATAACTGCTATAAAAATAAAACTGGATAATAGAAGATAAAGTAGGAAATTAGGACTAGCTTAGATAAGGCTCTAAGAAAAATTCATGCAGTTCATTTATTAAACACAGATATATTCCAATTTTCTCCTTGTATCAAATTCATTATATATTCTCAGTATTTTTCTTGGAATTTTACTGTTACCTGAATTTTTTTCTTTAAAAATAATATTGTTTATATTATAAATGTATTCTTTTAAATGTACATAGGATCTTTAATGATGCCCTATCTTCATTGTCAATATTTGCAATTTATTCATTCTTTTACTTTCCTTCATCAGTCTTCCTAGATTCAAATCAATTTCATTAGTCTTCTCACTGAAATACGTTTTGCATTTGATGATTTTTTTCTATTGTATATTTTATTTCTATTTCACATATTTCTGTCCTTATTTTCTTCCTTCAGTATTTTCTACTTTCAAGAGAATTACTTTCTGTGACTTGCTGGTTTTTGAAAACAACACCTTGGCATGAACATTTAGTTCATTGATTATGGTATCTTTCTTTTTTTCTGGATGAATATATTCATGCAAAGCTATTATTCCACTCTCTGTATCCACTGTGCATTTATTCCTGGGCTAGGCCCCAAGTAGAGGCTGAAGGAAATAGAATGTGAAGAACTAGAACACCTTTGTTGCTCCTCAGGACCTCTTTCTCCGGCAGTGGGCACAGGGCTTGTGAGTCCAGCATAATGAGATCATATAGGATGGACTGCCCTGAGGATGAGACAGATACTTCACTCACATTTCCATGGCTCTTGAAGGAGAACTTCCAACTTGATGGATTTTATTAACTGCCCTGGATTTGACAAGTTCCCTCTTGATGGGGAATCGAAAAGAAACATTTCTGCCTTTCCTAAGTCTCTCCACAGTCTATGGACCCTATGCTCACACAGACCTTCATAGAAACCCACTCACAGTCTGTACTCCCTGTTCCCAGATGCACAGACAGACCAACATGCAGAAACAGATGCACACAATGATGCCAAACTCGGGTTCCAACCACGTGTCAAGAAAGATGAGAAATTTTGAAATAATATGCTGAATCTGCTACGCACGGATTTTTTTTAAAAAAATACTTTTTTCACAATTATTGAAATATTTTATTTGCTTTAAGACTTTAGAAGCTTTGAGAGATGCAGAAGAAAGATTCCTGGAGGTGGATTATCTTTGAAAAATCAATTGTGCTGTTACCTCTATTCCCTCCCAAGGGAGAGCAAATGCCCAACTTCTTATCCCAAACCCCCCAAAGGAAGAGGATCCAGTAGGGCTATTTGTAGGCATTAGGATGCAACCTCTATGACTGGGGGACATGGTGGCCTGAGTATGATCCTCCGAGACAGTGAAAGGCAGATGTGCCCATAAAAGCTTAGCTCTGGGGAGCAGCCCTGAGCTTTCAGATTTTCCCAAGGCCAGAGATACAGGTATGTTTTATCTCTAAGCAAGGCGAGTGATACAATCTACAAAGAAATCAGCACAAAAGTTGAAGACGCTTTAACTTTTAGCATCAAAGAATGAAATAAAACAAAGTTAAGAGCACATGAAAAGAATAGGCACCTTTTCTTTGGAAATGAGGCTGATGAAAATATCAGAAGGAATATGCATTGCTCAGGAAGTTGTTTTCCTGCAAAGGTTCCTAATCATCTCAACAAATCATAGTTCTATTAATTTGAAATTGATGTAAAGTTGGAGGAAGAATCAGGTCTAGGAATATGTGTGTGTGTGTTCAGTTTTTCTCATAAATGCCTCCAGAAAGATACAGCTCAGCAGGACATCCAAGGTGATTGCTTATGTAAAAATTCCAATCCAATTTGTATTAGGCCATTCTTGCATTGCTATAAAAAAATACCCAAGATTGGGTAATTTATAAAGGAAAGAGGTTTAATTGTCTCACCCTTCTGCAGGCTGTACAGGAAGCATAGCTCTGGCATCAGCATCTGTGGAGGCCTCAGGACACTTGCAATCATGGCAGAAGGTGAAGTGGGAGCAGGGTTTCACATGGTGAAAGCAGGAGCAAGAGAGAGAGTAGGCAGGGAGAGGTGCCATACACTTTAAAGGAACAGATCTCCTGAGAACTCACTATCATGAAAACAGCACCAAGCCATGAGGGATTCACACCTATGACCCAGAAACCTCCTATCAGGCCCCACCTCCAGCACTGAGGATTACAATTCAACATGAGATCTGGGTGGGGACGAATATCCAAAATTATCTCACAATTATATTTTGGGTCAAGTACAGTATATGAAGTTTACCAAGAGAAGTTTGGCTAAAAGTTTCAGTATCTCACTAGATAAAAATCTCAGGCTTCAAGGGGTAGTGCATTGAAAAGAAAAGCCTTATTAAGATATAATTCAGTCTCTACTAAAAATACAAAAATTAGCTGGGCATGGTGGTGCACACCTATAATCCCAGTTACTTGGGAGGCTGAGAGGCAGGAGAATCGTTTGAACCCAGGAGGCAGAGGTTGCGGTGAGCCGAGATCGTGCCACTACCCTTCAGCCTGGGTGACAGAGCCAGACTCTGTCTAAAGGAAGAAAAAAGATACAATTCATATAACATGCTATTCACTGGTTTAAGGTGTACAGGCAATTGGCTTTTAGTATCCACAGAATTATGCATTTATCACACGACCAATTTTAGAACATTTTTGTTACCCTAAAATGAAACCCCACATCATTTAGCTTGATGTAGGATTTTTCTCAGCCCCCTTTGCCAGACTTGTGGGAGGGATGCCCATCTACTCAATCTGCCATGCTTAACCCCCTGCAGAAGGGAACAAGTCAGTGAGCGATTGCAGAACCTGGCTGGCTGCTTTGGGTGTCAACAGAGTAGCAAGCTCTAAGTGGGACCTGGGGCCAGTCCAGGCATGTTGCCTTGAGGGGAATGTGGCAGCTCCCAGGTGAGGGTGCCCATGATCCTGAAACCCCAGAGGAGGTGTTACAGAGCTCCTTTAGTTCAACTGTCCACAGC